CTGCTCCAGATCATTTGGCAGAGGGACCACCAGCCACCTCCAAGAGATGCTCGGAGTTGTTCCAACGGCGTCGGAGCCGTCTTGGCTCCCGTCAGCAAGGCTTTCTGCTTCACGCTGTGGTCCAGATTAACGGGCAAGGGTCCCCTTGGCCCACCACGGAGCGAGGCACAGCAAACCCCGAGCTGCCCTGCCTGCTCGGGAAAGCAGAAAAGCCCCAAAGCCGCAAGCTGTGCTCCCCCAGGGTCTGGCAGGATGGACCGTGCATGACTACAGTTGTGGTGGGGTCAAAGCCGGAGCAGAAAGTCAGAGCAACCAGGCGAGTTTGGTTTCCCCGCGCCCCAGGACGTCCCGCTAGCGACTGACCCTTCTCCGTGAGGAGCTTGCGATTCTCTGCCAGCTCCACCTCCAGCTCATCCCGGTTCTCTCTCTCGACAGCCAGTTGCTTCTTCAGCCGCCGCAGCTGAAACTGGGGGGTCTGCATGACGTCCCCCATGGGCGAGGAGGGAGGGCCGGGCAGCATGCTGTGGAGAGGCACGCCGCGTAACTCGGTTATCCGGAGCCAGCGGCAGGGCACGGTCCCTCCCCGCGCAGCCAGACCCCTCCGGTTTCCCCGTCCCAGAGGCAGGTTCCGAGCACTCGAATGCCTCATCGCCCAAGCAGAAAAGCCGCTCTCCTCATCTGGACCGCACTAACACCAGCTCCCGAGCGGCTGGCGTGCACCTACAAAACCACCTCCAGCCCCAGGGTGAAGCATCCCCCCCCCTTCACGCCACAGCCGGAGCCCCACGGCAGAGCACTCAGCTTGCTAGGGAGAGAATTGCAGCCAGACTCCCAGCAGCGACACGAGCCTGGTCCTCCCGAACCTGCCCGGGGCAGGAGAGGACCACGAGCTGCTCTGGGAAGTGTCTGTTGCTCATGAGGCTGAAATGAGCTGCGCTGGAAGGAGCTAATTACAGCCTGACCTCACTCCCCCACCGCCCATCCCCACGTCAGGCCTGAGGAGTTGGCAACGGGACAGCATCACGGCAGAAAGGGGGTCTCTGTCGAGCCAGCGTGCCCCCCAGCTACATCCCCGGGGCCCAGAGGCCACCCTGTCCGTTCGCCCCCTCCCCTCGCTCCCCCCCGGCAGCCAAGAGGCTGGGGACGTACTTGTTGGCGCCGGAGGAGGAGGCAGTCCTCTGCAGCTCCAGGAAACGCACCTCTCGCTTGTGCGGGAGCAGCGGGGAGTGCTCCTCGGAGCTGCTGCTGGAGGAGCTGGATGAGGACAGCGGCACTGGAAATCACAAGCGAGAAGCAGGCTGAGATCTTGGCGTTCATACCAGAAGGGAGGGTTTAGCAGCCGAAATCCCTGATGCGCAGGAAGCACAAATTGCAGCAGGGATGGAGCAGCCCAGCCAAGAAAGCCATAAACCTGCCGGACATCCCTGTCCTGCCAGCTCCTGCCCCGGCTCTCTGCTCCCACCGTGAAGCTGCGGGCATCCCACCCACCTCGCTCCTCGGGGAAAGTGCGTTTCAGCTGAAACGCTGCCGCGAGGGGAGAGCCCGGCGGGTCTAATGCAGCCCTACTCTTAAAGAAGAGCTTAGCGGGGACCATTCTGTAGTGCTCGGTCCCAGGGTGAGGGGATGGCGTTGCTGCTTTTATGGCTTGGCAGCTGCAGCGGCACAAACAGGGGAAAAAACTCAATGTTTTTCTGCTCTAGAAAAGGATCGTCTGTGCCGGTGAGGTGCTGCCAGCCTGGGAGCTGTGGAGGAAGACGCCAGCAGGGCTCAGTGCTCGCAATATCCCACGCTGCTGCTCTCCACCAGGTTGCGGACTGTTCCTGTCCCACTCCGAGCTGGCACTCGGACATCACTACGGCACACACGTCAACCCGCCGGTCTAACCGGGGTGCTGCACTGGTGCCAGCTAGCAGGAAAACGTGCCCAGTGCCTGCTCTGCCCGCAAAGGGCTTGGCCCGTGACTCGGGGCTGGTGCCACAGCACAGGCAGCCGGGGCCCGGCACTCACCTTTCCTCTGCAGAAATGTCTCCAGATTCTCATTCAGGCTCTCCTCGTTGTCCAGCACAAATTTGAGGACCGACGCCAGCTCAACCTGTGTGGGAGGAGCCGCGGGGTCAGCAGGGCCGCTGCAGCAG